CCCTGTTCATTGCCTTTTCTAAAGTGAAGAAGGATAAGGATGGCCCTGCAGGCTGAAGACACAGGGATGGGATTAGGGGCAAGTGCAGAGTTAGATCCTTTCTTTATTTAAATTTTTTGATATTTTGTACATCATGGATTTTTTTGCATTAATTAAAAATTTTAAAATATTGCATCAAAATTTTATCTTGATAACTGAGTGTTTGTGCCAGAGTCAAGCGCCTCACTGAGCCTCAGCCTAGTTCTGACAACAATAAAAACAATAAGAATAAATCTGAAGCTAGAAATGGGATTTTAAAGTACATCTATATGCACAGTATTAATCAAAATTCTATCCCTGGTTCTATCATTTAGCCCCACTCTTTTCTTTGGCTTCAACATCTCCCCCTGCTGCCATTCTAGCTCTTTCCCATCAGCTCTGAATTGAGCTGGTTTTTCAATCTAACAAAATGTCCTCCCTAGGAACACCATCCCACTCTAACAACCACCCTTTTTTTCCCCTTTGTAGTCAAACTTAAAAGAACTGTCTACACCAGCTGACTTCACTTCCTCAGCTCACAATTACTCTTCAACCTATTGAAATGGCCTGACCTCTGCCTCTAACTTTCCCCTGAAACAGTCTTCTTGCCTAGATCACTCACGACTTTTTCATTATTAAATCCATTTTAACTTATTTTCAGTCCTTATCTGTCTCAGATATTTAGCAGCATTTATCATTGTTGACTACTCCCTGTGCCTCGGAAAATTCTTCCCATGGCTTTCAGGACCTCACACTTTTCTCGTTTTCCTTCCCACCTCTCTGGCTTTTCTTTGCTAGATCAGTTTCCTCTAACCAATTTCTAAATGCTGGAAACAAACAAAAACAAAGCAACTATCTCAATTAATTGAACTATACTACCCAAGGGTAGGCAATATGGAAGGGAGTAGAATGTGTAACACAGTGTCCATGAAGTGAATGCAGAGACAGTGCACTGACTTGAGTTCCATTTACTGACTCTCCAGACATGGTGAACATGCTCAAATGGCTACATGGCAGAGAGAATGCAAGGAAAAAACAGGTAATCAGAAAATTATAATAAGAAATTTGTCCAGTGTTGGCGAGGATGTGGAGAAAGGGGAATCCTCCTACACTGCTGGTGGGAATGTAAATTAGTTCAACCATTGTGGAAAGCAGTATGGAGGTTCCTCAAAAAACTCAAAATAGAAATACCATTTGACCCAGGAATTCCACTCAGGAATTGACCCTAAGAAGGCAGCAGCCCAGTTTCAAAAAGACATATGCATCCCTATGTTTATCGCAGCACTATTTACAATAGCCAAGAAATGGAAGCAACCTAAGTGTCCATCAGTAGATGAATGGATAAAGAAGAGGTGGTACGTATACACAATGGAGTATTATCCATCCATAAAAAGAAAATAAATCCTTCCATTTGCAACAACATGGATGGAGCTAGATGGTATTATGCTTAGTGAAATAAGCCAGGCAGAGAAAGACAAGTATCAAATGATCTCACTCATCTGTGGAGAATAAGAACAAAGAAAAAACCTGAAGGAACCAAACAGCAGCAGACTCACAGAACTCAAGAATGGACTAACAGTTACCAAAGGGAAGGGGTTGGGGATTAAGGGGTATTATAATTAGTACTCACAATATAGATAGGTCACGGGAAAAGCAGTACAGCACAGAGAAGACAAATAATGACTCTATAGCATTTTTTTTACTTTTGTGTATATGACTTTTATTTTTTTTGTTATTTTATTTTTTATTAAGGTTTCATTAATATACAATCTTATGCTCAGGTTTCACTTAAGCAACATTGTGGTTACTACATTTCCCCCTATTATCAAGTCCCGCTCACAAACCCCATTACAGTCACTGTTGCTCATGTGAAATCTTCATAAGATTGTATATCAATTATACCTTAATTTTAAAAAAAAGAAGACATCCTGTTCTAGATGCTGATGGTTCCCAGCCTGAATCTATCTTCTGAACTCCAACTCCATATAGGGCTGGCTTCTGCACAGGTGTACTTGGATATCTCAAGACGCCCTTAAGCTCAACATGACTCAAACTGAACTCATCAACTTCTACTATCACTGTTCTTCTCAGAGCTGCAATTTCTTCTGTGTCTTCTGTCTCAATGAATAGGATCAATAGCCACTCAGTTGTCCAAGCTTTCCTCAACTCTTCACTTTCCTTTACTCTAACAATCAAGAACCAAATCATTCAATTACAGTTCTTTAATATTTCTTTAAAACTCATCCATTCATCTCTGTCCTCAGCACCTCAATTTTGTTAACCACCTGCTCTCTTCTCCCTAAGTAGTCTCCCCACTAACAGACTGATCTCCCTTCTAATCCATTCTTTTCAATTATTGTTAGAATGAACTTTCTCACCCCAAACACTGTACTTACTCTTAATATAGACCACTTCACAGTACCTCATAATCACTTGTATTCCCTACTTGAATATAAGTTCCAGAAGTGTAGGGATTTTTTTGTATCATTAATCTACAATTACATGAGCGACATTATGGTTACTAGACTTCCCTCATCACCAAGTCCCCCCCACATACCCCATTACAGTCACTGTCCATCAGCGTAGTAAGATGCTGTAGAATCACTACTTGTCTTCTCTGTGTTGTAAAACCCTCCCAGTGCCCCCTACCCCCTACATTATGTCTGCTAATCGTAGTGCCCCTTTTCCCCCCTTATGCCTCCCTTCCCACCAATCCTCCCAGTCCCTTTCCCTTTGGTACCTGTTAGTCCATTCTTGGGTTCTGTGAGTCTGCTGCTGTTTTGTTCCTTCAGTTTTTTTTCTTTGTTCTTACACTCCACAGATGAGTGAAATCATTTGTTACTTGTTTTTTTCCACCTGGCTTATTTCACTGAGCATAATACCCTCTAGCTCCATGCATGTTGTTGCAAATGGTAGGGTTTGTTTTCTTCTTATGGCTGAATAATATTCCATTGATAATAGGGGGAAATGTAGTAATCACAATGTTGCTTAAGTGAAACCTGAGCATAAGACTGTATATTAATGAAACCTTAATAAAAAATAAAATAACAAAAAAAATAAAAGTCATGTACACAAAAGTAAAAAAAATGCTATAGAGTCATTATTTGTCTTCTCTGTGCTGTACTGCTTTTCCCGTGACCTATCTATATTGTGAGTACTAATTATAATACCCCTTAATCCCCAACCCCTTCCCTTTGGTAACTGTTAGTCCATTCTTGAGTTCTGTGAGTCTGCTGCTGTTTGGTTCCTTCAGGTTTTTTCTTTGTTCTTATTCTTCACAGATGAGTGAGATCATTTGATACTTGTCTTTCTCTGCCTGGCTTATTTCACTAAGCATAATACCATCTAGCTCCATCCATGTTGTTGCAAATGGAAGGATTTTTTTTCTTTTTATGGATGGATAATATTCCATTGTGTATACGTACCACCTCTTCTTTATCCATTCATCTACTGATGGACACTTAGGTTGCTTCCATTTCTTGGCTATTGTAAATAGTACTGCGATACACATAGGGGTGCATATGTCTTTCTCAAACTGAGCTGCTGCATTCTTAGGGTAAATTCCTAGAAGTGGAATTCCTGGGTCAAATGGTATTTCTATTTTGAACTTTTTGAGGAACCTCCATACTGCTTTCCACAATGGTTGAACTAATTTATATTCCCACCAGCAGTGTAGGAGGGTTCCCCTTTCTCCACATCCTCGCCAACATTTGTTGTTGTTTGTCTTTTGGATGGTGGCCATCCTTACTGGTGTGAGGTGATGTCTCACTGCAGTTTTAATTTGCATTCCCTGATGAATAGCGATGGGAAGCATCTTTTCATGTGCCTGTTGGCCATCTGAATTTATTTTTTGGAGAAGTGTCTGTTCAGATCCTCTGCCCATTTTTTAATTGGATTATTTGTTTTTTGTTTGAGGTGTGTGAGCTCTTTATATATTTTGGATGTCAACCCTTTATCAGATAAGTCATTTATGCATATATTCTCCCAAACTGTAGGATGTCTTTTTGTTCTGTTGATGATGTCCTTTGCTGTACAGAAACTTTTCAGCTTGATATAGTCCCACTTGTTCATTTTTGCTTTTGTTTCCCTTGCCTGGGGAGATATATTCATGAAGAAGTTGCTCATGTTTATGTCCAAAAGGTTTTTGCCTATGTTTTTTCTAAGAGTTTTATGGTTTCATGACTTACATTCAGGTCTTTGATCCATTTTGAATTTACTTTTGTGTATGGGGTCAGATAATGATCCAGTTTAATTCTCTTACATGTAGCTGTCCAGTTTTGCCAACACCAGCTGTTGAAGAGGCTGTCATTTTCCCACTGTATATCCATGGCTTCTTAATCATATATTAATTGACCATATATGTTTGGGTTAATATCTGGACTCTCTATTCTGTTCCACTGGTCTGTGGGTCTGTTCTTGTGCCAGTATCAAATTGTTTTGATTACCGTGGCAAGTGCAGAGATTTTTATCTTGGTTACTTTGGGATGTGTAGCATTAAGTATGGCGTCTTGAATATAGGAGTACTTTATAAATGTTTGTTGAACTGAACTTCAGCCTGATGTTTAGCAGCAGCTCAGTAAAAAGGTTGGAGGACTATTCAAAATCTTAATTTTATTAAGAAAAATTCCTACAGACTTATACTACAGGATGATTTAGCCCCTATAACACTTAAGAACTACAAGGCTGCAAAGTTCCCCCTTGCCATTTAATAGTGAGAAATAGATCTTAAATAAACATAGCTGTGCCATTCTCCCTACCTTTTCCAAATACTTCCCTGTCTTTTTAAAAATTCCCCAGTTGTCTAGATTTGAATTTGATTGAATATCTTATGTAAAGGGGAAATAAATGATTAAAAGTCATTTGATAATATCTGTACACAGAAGCTCATGAATCTCCATGGTGAGATTATGTTTCAGGATATGACACAATAATACTGATGTCATAGACCTCTAGAACAGACTGAACCATATCAAATACAGTAGTTTCCTTGGCAGAAGAGGCATTTGAACAAATACCTGGACACGAATCTTTTCATTTATGTACTACTTTTGTTCATTTGGACAAGTAGTTGTTTAAATACAAGCCAGAGTAATGAATCTTCTACTAAAGGTATGTGCCTAACCTTAAAAACTTAGAAATTATGGTCTTTTAGGCATTTGAGCACTTAATTAGACAAGCTAGCTCTCTTTAAGAAATCTGCTGTTTCTTGGATGTTACCATTAGTTGAACCTCAGAAATTTCTAGGATGACACCTGAGTGTTTTAGTTCTGTGTAAAAAACCAAAGCAACATAGAAGCATAAAGAGTACACATATATTGTTCCCCTTTACTCCCCTTCCGCGCCCAATCCACTAACACCCTGCCCTCAACTAAGCTAGATGTTACTATGTGAATTAATCTGGCATTTCAACCAAGAGTTTTTCTTGTTCCTTCACATTTTCTATCATACACATTCAAATACACACACACACACACACACACACACAAATACTCAAGTGCATTCACACAGGCAAGACATACACACACACACACTCAAAAACCTAGGTAATGGAGTAAGAAGGGCAAGATACGGGGTAACCCAGGGAATTATACTGATTAGTCAGAGATGCCTTCCAGCTTTGGCTTCCAGACTATGGCTGGGGACGTGACAGAGGGAAGAAAATGACAATTGAATATTTGCCATGCTAAAAACAATCAATGATGAAGAGATTTTATTTTGACTGATAGTGGCAAACCACGTAAAATATGTGGTTACTTAACACATTTTCTGGTGATACCATCTTTCACAGGAGCTAAGCATGGTGAATTAATGCAGACCAAATTGGACAATTTTAGACTCATTATCATAATTGGTATTATGATCATAGGTTTTGGCTTTACGTGTTCTTATGTTATCCACTATAATTGTATGAGCGACAATGCCTGCAAAGATCTAACATAAGTTTTACACCTTTGAATTAAGAATATGAAGAGTGTGTGCATACATATTGTGGAAGTTTCATGGTTGTGGTGGTTACTTAATGCTAACTTTAGGCTTCTAAACAGCTACTAACATCTTGTGAGTGGATACTGTCACTTAAATAATATCATCTCTTAAATATTCTCAAGTACATTAACAACTTGAGCCAAAGTTATTTTTTATTCAGGGTTCAGTTGAGCCTTAGGCTGCTAATCCTATTTTAAAGTAAGTCTAGGAAAAGAGGGCATGACTATATGAACAATAGAGAATGAAGAAATGGAGAGAAAGGGTGTTGGTTCTCTTCATTCCAAAGATAAACATTTTGAGTAATGTACCATTTTAAGATGTAATAGCATGAAAATTTATTCACTGTTTTGGTTCTCAAGACCTCACTACCTGCCTTTCATTGAGGAGAATCAGGCTGGCCCTAATAGAGTGGTTCCCTAAAAATTTCCCAATTAAGGACTGTTGACTAATATACACTTGTGCTCCATTCCTTTAGTTTTAGAGGAATATTGTGAATATAAATATATGTGGATAATTTGGATAATTTGGTGATGTAAACACAACAGGAAAACAATGACTTTGGTCTAAAACATTTATTTTTTCTTGCCACAAGTTATACATTAGTATGTCAGATGTCAACTTGTGACTTTTTTATGCAAAGTTTAATTTCTAAAATAAATGAAATTCTCTCTTAATACTAGATTTGAAACAACTTTGTATCATTCCATATATAGACTATATGGTTATCTAATGTAGTTGAAAGGGTAAAACACTCTTAAGAAAAAGACAAAGCATTTAACAATATGTTTGTATAGTGATTCATGGCTTTCACCACACTCCAATTCTTAGTGTTTTCAATTTTCCTACCAAACCAAAAAAAAGACCAAAAGTCTAAACTGACACAGACTGTGTTTTCTAGTGATACCAATAGTAGTCTTTTGATTTAAATTGTCATACTCCCAATTTTCTTATTTTCAGCATGAAGAAAGAATAGATAACAGCAAGTCATCCAGATCGAAAATATTCAGTAAATTCAAGACAGACTGTCCATGCAGTCCAGAAAAACAACCCATGCTATCCAGTGTAATCAAGTTATCTAGACCCTCAAGTCCAGAAAAGTCATCCGTATCATCTAGTGAAGAAAAGTTAATCAGACCATCTCAGGAAAACTCATCTAGGCCATCAAGCCCAGAGAATGTATTGAGGTCACCCCACCTGGAAAAGTCATACAGAACAGGCAGTCTAGAAAAGTCATATAAGCTAGTCAGTCAAGTTAGTTAATCCTATCCAAATAAGGCAGTCAGGTCACCTTGGCCAACCAGTGTACAATATCCAGTCAGACTAACCAAGCCACCTTGTCCACCCTGTCCACGAAATCAAATCTTGCCACCCAAGCCATTCAGTTTACAGAAACTGCCCAAGTCCCCCAGACACCCTAATCTAAAAAGGTCAGTTAATACAGGAATGTCAGACATGTTACCTAGGCCTCAATTAGCCAAGCCTTGTTTGTGCTACAAGAAAAGATGCCTCGCCTGCAGAACTTCCAAGTCATTGGTCAAAATTTCTCAGGTAAAGAAGAAAAATACTCAAAAGCCACTTTTTCCAAGTGAAGTGAGGCCTTTTTCCAAACCCTTTCATACATCAGATCCCAGAGATATTGCATTCTGTGAAAACGTGAGTGCCAGTGATATGATATGTGACAGTGATGACAATGATAAGGAGATAACCATTATTTGCAACATAAAACACAATGAAGTTATCCCTAGAGGCACCAAACTAATTAAGGGCTCTGTAAAAATAAAGGCCACCTGTGAAGAAGCAAATTTATACCAACTATTTTATGCTCATGATCCTTTAAGACATTGATAGAGAAAAAATTCACCTGTGATCACTAGTGAGATAAGCCCTATCCACCTTGGAGGCAATGTATTTGAAAAATAGTAATTAAATGCATGATATAACAAATTATCTTCTTGTAGTTATTGCATTTTGGAGGCATAAGGCTCTTTTGATGTATCTTAGACCTGGTCACTTGGATGGGAACTAAAAACATACACACACAGGGAATTGCAAGATGGGTACACTGGATTTCTCCTTCCCTTGGATTAGCCCTCAGTTGAAGTCCCAAACCAATTAAGGTTCTTTTTTTAATGTTCACATACAGTCCTCACAGCGTAAGACTGTATTTTTGCAGTTCCCAGTGCTTGGCAGAAATGGCTCTGTGTGCCTGGGCTTGGATGACTTAGGGAAACCCCTGATAGCCATTTCTAACTCCACTGCCTCCAGGAACTGCTAGCTAAAGTGAGGGTCCAGCCTCCAGCATCCACACCAGGAGCTCTATGATATTAGCCTAAGTGTTCTAGTCTTCATAAGTCTCAACAAGGCTTTTTATTGTTACCCGTCAAAATGGTTAAGAGGTTTCCCTGTTGGGAATCCACAAAAGGTCCCAGTTGAAGGTCTGATCTACTGATTTTCCCCACATGGTACCTCCCAACTCTGAACTGGCAAGGGTGGGAGGTCACGGGAGAACCTTGGAGTTATATCCTCCAACTTCCCCACTAAAGACATGTCATCTTGCCTTCTTCCAATGGCACGGCTGGGAAGAGCTGGCAATGACCTGATTCCGAGCCTATATGCTAGTGTAGTGAGGTTAGTCCCCTATACCATCTAGCAGGCATAACTGAAACACCAGTAGCTAGCATGTATTGAATGCATACTATTTGTCAGGCATTGTACTACTCCCTTTACTACTTATGCATCCAAAGGCTGCCCCCAAGTTTGCTGATTCAGTAAAAGGATTCACAAGACTCAATTGCAGATTATACTCGTGGCTAAGGTTTATTAGAGAAAAATATACGGACCAAGAGCAACAGGAAAAACATATGTATCAGGAGGAATCCATAGAGGTCAGGCACAAGCTTTCGAGTACTTCCCCATCTAGGCCATCTAGAATATGCTTCCTATCTAGCAACAAACTAGAGGAGCATGTGCAGAACATCTCTGCCCAAGGAAACCTGTTTGAGTCTCTGGGTCTAAGGCTTTAATTGAAAACTGTTCACATAGGTATATCATACTATATGATCAGCCATGGGAACCAAAACTCAGGATCCCTAAAATGAAACCAGATGCACATCATTAGTAATGATGTCTGTACAGAGCAATCCTGACAAGCTGATAAGGCATGGTTCATTGCTCCAGATATATAAAACATAATCAACAACCATTAACATTAGAACATTCTCAGGGCCACATTCCCAGGATTTGGCTAATGGTCAATCATTGTTTCAGGTTTCCTTAAAGACATAAAAGGACTAAACAACCAGACATGATGTGTTAACGATTTCCTCACTCTTCACATATTTTATTAAATTCCCAACAGTACCCCTTTATATGGAGGATTATACGAGTTAACTAAGGCTTTGCAACATATAGTAAGATCACATCTAGTGACTGGTTGAATTGAGATCCGAATCTATGGTTGGTTTATGCCTAAACTTTCATTATGCTGTACTGTCTTCTCACTATCACCTTCTAGGGTGTCTGTTCATTCACAGATCACTCAATCCACTGGTATAAACACAATCCCTACTTGACTTTTAATCAGCCTGGGCCATTCTCCCAGCCTATGAGGGGCATGTAAAGATGCCTTATATTCATTCAAATCTGAGTTTCCCATGGTCTGTGCCTCTAGCGGTGGTCCCCTGGTGGGATCTGTAGCCATAAGGTTATAAAATTCACAAATTGCACTAAGTAGCTGTTTACAAAAGTTTTAAGAGATGGTTTATGCATTTAAAAAGCCTTGTGGGAGGGGGGTGGGGGATAGATGAAATAAATGAAGGGGATTAAGATGTATGATCTTACAGTTACAAAATAAGTAACACACAGGGATATAATGTACAGCATAGGGAAATATAGTCAATAATACTGCAAAAACTTTGTATGGTGACATACGGTAATGAGACTTATCATAGTGACCATTTCATAATGTACATAAATATCGAATCCCTATATTGTACATCTGAACCCAACACAGTATTGTATGTCAATTATTCTTCAATTAAAAAGAGAAATATTGAATTCAATAAAATCAATCAGGTCATGTTAACAAAAAAAATAAAAATAGCAGGCACTGTGGTAGCTGCAGACTGGATTTCCTACTGGTATTGCCCTTTTTAAAAAGACAAACTGAAAAGGGTTACAATTGTTCTCGGTTTAAAAAGCCTGGTCTTTTAAAAATTCACAAATAGAAGCAAAACTTGTGATCAAAATTTTAAACTGTTTACTATGAAAAAAAGTTCAAACATATACAAGGGTAAGGCAAGTGTTATAATTAATGCCCATATTAGCATTGCTCAGATTCAACAATTATTACTACATGGCCACTCTTGTTTCATTTATACTCCTGTTACAGAAAACCTGGACTGGATCACTGACAGAAGAACCAAGCAGCACTTGGAGGTATTGGAGGGTGGAGGTTTATTTTACACCGGCGGGCTCAGAGAAGAGTGATCTCCAAAGGTCTAAACCCCCGAGTACAGCAGGGCCATGCTTTTTACACATTTACTACAAAGCTAAGGGGGGAGTCAGCACCCAGAAACTGTTGCAGTAGGAGCTATTAGGTGACTATAGGTGTATTCAGGATGCTAGTTATATTTTAATCTATTTCTGTAAAGGTTACCCAGATACCATATTATAAACTAATGGGCCTCCATGACTATGATTAACAAGCCATTCTATACCACTGAGTCCTGGTGGGGTGGGTGGGTTGGGAATACATTGTTTCAATCCCAAGCATCCAAGTACTTTGTGATTCCTCTATATTCCTGAAACCTTAACAGAAACCCTGTTTCCTTGGTTTACTTGGCTTCCCACCACACCTGCCAAGAGGGGGAGGGATTTGAGAACTTTCTGAGTATTTCCTCATCACTCTTACCCATTTCCACTCTAAATTTTTAAAATACACAAACACAATACCATTATCTCACCTAAAAATAACATAATTCCTTAATATCAGTCATCTAGTAAATATTAAAATTTCCCCATCTGTCTCCTAATCTTTTTTGCAGTTTCTTTGTTCAGATGACATTGATCAGCATTTGACAGCATCAAAGACTAAGTTTTTTAAATCAAAATTACAATGTCATTGGCTAATCTGACTTCATATTGTAGGATGATTTTGGAGTACATCTGAGATGTCAGTAGTCTGGAAAATAGCAAAGTCAAAATTGTAAGGTTTTCAGTTTAAACTCAACTGATATCTTCACAGGCAAAGCCAAGTAATGTAAACTTTATTCTCTCTCCATTTTGAAGCTAAACATTCGTAATGCTTTAAGAGCTGTGAATATTAATATCTAATAAAAATGACTAACTGCCTGTGACAACCAATGATAATGACATCTTAAGAACAAGTTATCTGTATAAGTATCTGTGTTCCATTTTTAAACCACACTTAATTATAGAGTAGGAGTCTATGGAATATTTGAAGCTCATTCAATATGCAAAATCCTAAGTGCAGTAATGGGGGCTTCACACACAAAACCAGTATAGAATATGTAATAAAAATATGTGCCCTTAGTCAGAGAAGAATTTTAGCACAAAAAATTTTTTACCACTGAAAACTTGCCCAGGCTAGTAATTAAATTAATTAAGTCCCATCATTCCAATAGACAGTCTTTAGTACTTCCTGGAAATGTCCTGATTTAAGTAAGAGACTCATGAATTTCTATTTCCTGGACTTTTTACAGCATGCTTCATCTCTCATGGTACCTTACTCCTCTCTTCTTCTCTGCTTCTTTCCCCTTGTCCAGCAAGAGTCAGGGCGATAAGATCAGTCAGCCCATGAATTCCTTACATTTCCATTCTCCAGAGGGCATTGTGAAGCGAGTTTCAAACATGACACTTCCCTCTCAGACCATCCCCTCTCTTATCTTCAAAACTCACATCTTGCTCTCAGCTATGGAATGTAAATGAATTAATTTTGCTCCTTTTATTCAGGACAGCTCTTTCTAAAGATCCATCACTTTTAAAAAGGGTGCTTTCATATACCAAAGAATAACTTTGCTTCCTTAGATGATGTTATGGACTAAATGGATCCCCCCAAAATTCCTATTTCTAACCCCCAGTGTGCTCATATTAGAGGTGGGGCTTGGAGGACATAATTAGGTTCAGATGAGGTCATGAAGGTGGGGCCCCATGATGGGATTACAGGAAGGAAGACCAAAGTTTCCTCTCTCTCCACCATGTGAAGACACATCAAGAAAGCAGCCAGGAAGAGGATCATCACCAGAACCTGACCACATTGGCACTTTGATGCTGGACTTCCCAGCCACCAGAACTACATGACAATAAATTTCTATTTAAGCTAAAAACAAAAGTGCTAAAAGGTTAGATGTCAAACATTTCTGACATGTATTTTCTACATGAAATTATATAAGCATGGAATTGAAAGGATGCTTAGAGAGCCTCCTCTTCTACCACCTTGTGGGGAGGGAGCCATGAAGACCTGAAGAAAAATGCTTACTTAGCAAGAAGACCACCTTTTACCACAGTTGGGGAGGCAAACTGACTGTGGCATGATGCCAGGCATCGCAGATTTTTTTTTTATGATTAGAAAATATTTTAATCTCCAACTCTGTGTCTTATCTTTTCATTCTCTTAAAAGTATCTTTTGCAGATATGGAGGTGCCTCAGAAAACTCAACATAGAAATACCATTTGACCCAGGAATTCCACTTCTAGGAATTTACCCTAAGAATGCAGCAGCCCAGTTTGAAAAAGACATATGCACCCTATGTTTATTGCAGCACTATTTAAAATAGCCAAGATATGGAAGCAACCTAAGTGTCCATCAGTAGATGAATGGATAAA